TATATATATATATTGCCACACAACACACACAAATGTAGTACTTTGTATACAATATATATAATTTTAGAAGTATTCTTTTCATTGTATGTCATGCATATTTAAATAAATTGTTTAATTGTAAAATATTGAATACAACTTTGAATTGGGATGAATATATATGCGTTATTTATTTAAATATTTTTTTAATGTTTAATTTTAAATTTTTTTATAACTTATTAACGGGGGTGGGGATTTCCCGTCCCCGAATAATCCCCATGGGGATGGGGATGGGGGGAATTTTTCATTCCCCGGCGGGGATGGCGATGGGGGACGGGGAATGGGAAGAAAGTCGGGGACGGGGATGGGGAGTATGTCCCCCGTCCCCACCCCGCCCCGTTGACATCCCTAGCTGCTATATCGCGGGCACCTTTGTGATTTCCCCTTTATTATTATTATTATTATTATTATTATTATTATTATTATTATCATTAGCTGGCAAGTTTATTTTTATTTTTAAAATTTTTTTTTTTGTTGAATTTTGTTATTAAATTTTTATGCAATAAAATTATATTTAAAAAATTGTAAACATTTATAATTTTCAATTTATTTTAATTTTGATAAATGTAATTTTAATATAATAAAAATAATAATTGTAATTATAATTATAATTTTTATAATAATAATAAATAAATAATTAAAATATAGAGATAAAATGGTGGGTCCACCAAAAGTTGTTAAAAACTTAAAACTAATGGGAAGAAGAAATATTGTGATTGAGTGAGATAGTGGATGATGAGGTGAATGTTGGGACCCACAAAAATCTGGGTTAAAATCCCCAACTATTGAGGATGCCCTAACAAAGGAATGGTCATGCTTTGCTGTCAAAAAAAAAAAAAAAAAGAATGACCTGAGAAGATGCAGAGATGAATTTGTTCGAGACTTGGTTTGTTCTGACAGGCTTTTATGAATTTTGGTGCTCTGCATTTGTTTCCTCAATAATTTGGGGTTGTGGTTTCCAACTCTGACAAACATGTCTTGGCCATGGAGAAAAGGGATTTGGATTAGGCTTGACCCTCCTTTTGCCCTTTGATTTTCCTTTTAACCCACATGGGACACACGTATAATGACTTCAATAAGTATGAAGCAGACCCACGATATGTGTACATTTACGAGAAGAGCTACAAGCACCTAAACTTTCTCAATGCTCCGTGTTCATAATGGCATTGTCGCCGTCCATCATTGACACTGTCATTATTATTATTATTAGCAGACCAGAAAACAATTTGAGATACTTTCCTGAGACATCGACTTCACGAAATCTCAAGAAAGTGGGGGATTGGATGATGGATAAAGAGTCGTTATATCGTGGACCGCGGTGCACGTGCACCGCGGTCAAAACGACGCGGTTAGTTTTAACAGAGCGTGTATTTTTTTATGTTAATTACCAACTGACACTACAGTATATCTAAATCGACACTAACTCATGTATTATTTTTATTTTATCAAATGAAACTGCAGTTATATCAAAATGATACTGTAGTTATGGTGAAATGAAACTGCAGTGTATATAAAATGAAACTGAATAACATTTCACATATTTGAGTGTATATTGTACAATGAAGCTGTAATTATACCAAAATGATCATGTTGTTGTGTTTTAATAAAACTATAGTGTATATAAAATAAAATAAATAAAACATATTTACATATTTGAGTCTATAAATATCGAATAAACTGTAGTTATATCGAAATGAAACTGTAGTTGTGTTGAACTGAAACTGTAGTGTATACAAAATGAAATTGAATAACAGAATTACTTTTTGCAGAAGGGTGCGGAACGGCGAGAAACGGATGTCGTTTCTTTTTATTAAACAAAACAACGCCGTTTTGATGCGCAATGCATAATTAATTATGCACCGCGGTGCACAATATAATTTTCCATGGATAATATAGTAGGCATGGGCCGCATGGACCGACCAATGAAAGCAACTGGATCAAGGAAGCCCAAGAAAGATATATGATACGGAGCAACCCAAGAGTTTGTAAAAGATTGAGCCTGTTATTCCCAATATAATTAGAATTAGACTCATTATTTCTGGTATAATAAAATTAGGTTTTATTATATAATTAAGACTCCCAATATGAAGCAGTCTAGAATTCTTATTCCTTGTAGGGCTCTAGGCCCAACATATGTATAAATAAACCAGGGAAGAATGACCAGGGATCGAGTCTCTCCAGCGGCAGTGTGGGAGCAACCTCTCAAAGTGAGGGGGGGTTCCTTGTGCGCAGTGAGCACCGGTCTAGCCTCTGTGGTTCATGTTCACTTGAGTCACCAGTATTTACATCCTCCCAAATGCTCTGTCGGGCCGGGGTGTGGGGGGCCCTTAGGGTTGGGGTTCAGCCTTGGAAGAATAAATAAACCTCTCACATAGAGGAATGGGGAGAACTCCGAGTATTCACAACAAATATTCATTAATAAAAAGTTCATATATTCTCTCCATATATTTTTCTTATATTTCTCTTGTATTCTCGTTATTCAATTCTAACGGTAGTGTTGGCCTGCCGTTAACTGCCCAAAAGTCATAAAATCAACATCCTCTTCTACCACTAAAATTCAATCTTCAATTCACCTAAGATTTGCAAACTTTCCTCTAGGGCTACACATCTTCTAATTACAAATATGGATCATCACAAATTGTGTGATCTATCTTTTATAGAGAATCAACCATTAATCAATTCCCAAACATGGATGTTAAGTATATGGATGCTAAGTAATCTATATAATTATTATAATGTCTTCATTTATTTTAAAATTACAAGAAACACAGTATAGTATCTGATATGAGAATTTGTGTTGGAGGATGACAGTTCAAGCCAGCGTGCAGCCACCAGTAGAGCAGTTAGGGGTGTTCTTGTCTGTTAGTTGGTTGTAACCAACTTGATATCATCTTCTCACTTTTATCCATTATATATAAGATTTCTCTGCTTTGTTATATGTACATTCAAGACATTATTTTCCAAATAAACAAGTTTGATTCTTCTTCTTCTCTGATTTGTTCTCTCTGCTTCTCATCCTCAATGTAGTCCCTTATTCCAACATGGAATCAGAGCGGGACGTGCTTATATTGCTGCGCGCTATGGTGGGATCCTCAAGGGGTGAGGATTATGTGAGCACTGTTGCGCGAGAGGGGATGCGCACGTGCTGATGACGGCTCCACTCCGTTGGTCCACAGGGGGCAGATGGGTCCTTTGGAGGGAATCGGGACTCGGGTGGCCGCCAGCTCAGCCGGACTACTCTTCGTGAGATGTCCTGGCATTAGCGGCGCGTATGCAATTAAGTACGGTGATCCTTGGGCAGAGTCCTCTCCCCTAGCACGAGGGCGTGCGAGATGTTTGATGGGGGAGAGTGTCACGGACGTTTTTCCGTGACCGTGCGAAGACCGAAAAGTAGGAGGAAACGACCAACTGGTTAGCAACGCCATGCGGGTGAAGGGAGGTGTCAATAGCGTTAAGGGTTGTTCTGCCTTAGACGCGAAGGTCTGGCCGAGTTAGGCACGCCGACCCGGTTGAGTTTGGGGAGCCTGTCGCTTGTCTTGGACATGACTATGAAGGGGACCTGATGCGATCGAAAGGCACAACTGGTTAGGAGCTGTTGCCACTTCCCTGATGAGCCCATGGCAGGGCGAAACCAGTGTGGTGCGTATGTGGGTAAGGCTGGTCCGCGGAGCATGAGGGGCCTCGGGACGCCGCACGGGCGCTGTGGGCTGCGCCGAACTCTATGCCCGTGTCAAAGTGGTATCAGAGCCGCGATCCTACGCCGCCGCCGCTGTCTCTACCGTCGCTGGCGTGAAGCAGGAGACGCTGGCTACCACTCCGATCGCACAATCTCCAGCCGCACAATCTCTATTCGTGCGATTCCTTTCTCGTATTGTTCCAGAGTCAGTTCCGCAGAGGAACTCGATCAATCGTTCAGTTCCGTAGAGGAACTCGATCAATCGTTCAGTTCCGCAGAGGAACTCAATCAATCGTGCTCACAGGAGCCTCAACTCAAATGATCTAGGCATCTCTGAGCAGTTGAATAAGCTGATGTCTCTCCTTCAATCCCAGGCGATGGAGAGAATTATTGTTACGCAGTGTAACAACAATGCCGACGCGCCAGTCCGATCAACATCACCAAGGATTCCGCAGAGGAATCTGAGTTCGGAGCAGCGGACTTCCGTAGCCGATCCGCAGCGGAAGGCGATCCAGGGAGCTTGTCCGTTGTTTCCGGTCATTCAATCACCAGTTCAGGCGATCTCCACAGCCGTTCCGCAGCGAAAGGAAGGAGCTCGTCCGAGTTTTTCGTTGTCCGGCATAGCTAGGAAGCCGAACAGTGAAATCGTGAGAGAAATTGACGAAAGTGAAACTTCGAGTCAGAGAAATTTTTCCGGCAAGGTTTCGGAGTTCAACGAATGGAAAGTGAAACGATGCAAGGATGCGTCTGAGATGAATGACAACAATGTCGTTTCATTCAATTCTGCTTTAGAATCTGCCGTTTCTTTCTCGCTCCGATCATCTCTATACACGCATATCCCTCTGTGTCTAGTCATGGCGCTTTTCCGAGCTGCAATTTCCGGTAGGATCCTCGAGTCCAGCACGGTTGTCGGAGCGCGATCCATGTCGTCATGGTGGCGAAGTGTCGAGCCGGCTCCGAAAAATCCGATCCTCGGCGTCACTGAAGCTTTCCTCGCAGATCCTAGCCCCGACAAAGTCAGTGTTGGAGTTGGAGCTTACCGTGACGATAATGGAAAACCGATGGTGCTCGAGTGTGTCCAGGAAGCAGAGCGGAGAATCGCGGGTGGTTTTAACATGGAATATCTTCCAATGGGAGGAAGCGTTAACATGAATGAGGAATCTCTGAAGTTGGCCTATGGGGAAATTGGATTTGCAATTAAAGGAATTGGTCATCATTCACTTAACATGTATGTTCCTAGGCCAGATTTAAAACCAAAATAGAATTGAATTGATATGTCCTCATCAAATTACAGTAAAGTAAGACATTTTTCATTCATTATATTCTTCCTCATTTGCATGGTATCGTCCTCTCTGACAATTATAACCTGCAACACCATATCATTCTCCATTTGAAGTGGCAGGAACTCACAAATACACCTATCTTCTTTTCCAACAAGGTTCAAATTGCACAGGTTTCTCCACCCTCCTGACAGCCATGTTCGACCATCACCCCAAACAATTACATTTGTTGTCCACTCCCTGCCTATCATGTCACATAGAGTGACGGTTGGAGGTAATTCAAGATTGAACTCCATGATGATTTCTCTTGGTATATACTGCAAATCCGATTCAATCCATTAAAACTCATGTACGTACGTAAGTAATTGAGAAACAAGCTAAGCTAGATACACATAATGAACAATATATATATATATATATATATATATATATATATATATATATATATATATATATATATATATATATATAGAGTTAATACCATCTGAGGTCCTCCGAGTATGGTGGTTTTGCCACGTTTAGTCCTAAACTTTCATATTAACCATCTGTGGTCCTTCGACTTTCAAATTTAACCATTCGTGGTCCAAGTTAACCACCCATGGTCCTTCAACTATTAAATTTTAACCAACCATGGTCCTTTCAAGAGGACCGCGACTGGTTATATTTCGAAACTTGAAGGACCATGGGTGGTGAACTTGGACCACGAATGGTTAAATTTGAAAGTCGAAGGACCACAAATGGTCAATTTGAAAGCTTAGGACTAAACGTGACAAAACCACTATACTCGGAGGACCTTAGATGGTATTAACTCATATATATATATATATATATATATATATAATATCATCTTTCAATTCATTCCTCCCGCATCAAGAATATAATAGGTTGATATCTAGAATAATTACCAGACTGCCAACCCTTGTTCGTCTAATTTTAGTCACGAAATACGGATTCTCAGGTTGAATATAACGCCCCGATAGAAAAAGATCTGCTCCAGAATAATCAGGAATATTGCTTTTTTCCGCACTAGCATCTCTCTTGGATCCACCAAATTAAAATTAAAAAATTAATAATAATAATAACTCACTCATAGAATAGACAATGAGAATTATTAAAACTAACTCACAATAATTGAAACTTACTTGAATTATTATTATCGCTATTATTGTATCTTCTTTTGTCCTGGGAAAGTACATGATGATCACCACCATTGCAATTGCCCTCCCCTTCTGTTGTATCCATATCCTGGGAAAGTACTGTATGATGATGATCATTATCATCATTTCCCTCCTCTCTTGCATTGGCATTCATATCCATATCCTCTTCTTTCTTAACATTTTTCTTCACAATACTACAGATATCTGCCTCAAAAACAAGTACATCATGACTCTCATCACGACTACCTTTTCTTATAAACTCTACCACTCGAGCAGGTTAACCTTCCACTGCTATCTTTTCACAACCGAATGAGTCAACTACAAAGAAGTCAAATATACTTCACCACAATCGTTATAGATAAAAAGCAATTGGTCGCCATTTATGACACAGTTATCCTTCACAACTTTTTCCCATCCATTCCTGAAAAACATAGTATCTCCAGTTTTTGATATCTCAATCTCCCAAACATTCTTTTGACAATTCCTCAGTAAAACTTTCCTTTTAAAATATCTTTTCTCCGATTATGTGAATGATGGAATTTCCTATTAAGGGAAGCAAAGTAAGGGGTTGAATTTGTTAACTTCATGAAACAAACATAAATTATTTGTAATATTAAATAGAAAACACCAATTCAATCAAAATGCTACATTCTCCAACCATAATTTCAGTAATTAAATCAACACATAAGATACAACATGAAGTGAATTCATGCTCAAACAATGCCTTAATTTGTGTTAATATTGCAAAGTCCATTAAACGCTACCATGAAACTGTTGAAGATAACTTTGAGTTACTAGAAATATTAAATGATGCCATAGCAACAAGGCCAGAAAAGTAAGAATACTTGATGGGAAGGGGAAATATATATGGCATTAAACAACCTCCACATTTGAATCTTTATTAAACATGTCTAGATTTATTTACATTAAATAAACAAAAAATTAAAGCGCAGGTAGAAAAAAAAAACAAAAAAAATAAAATAAAATAAAATAAAAACAAAAAAGGGATTCTACATACCAATTTACAAGAGGAAGTATCTGCGCAAAAAAAATTTGTGAAAGTTGAAGCTTCTCGTTTGTGCCATTTCCAGTAATGGGTGAGATCAAAACTTCAACGCTTCAACCTCAACCTATCAAGAGAGAAAACATTGTGAATGGAAGTACCAGAGAAGTTACCCAAACACTACATAAATATCGAATTGTTCAACGTAATATGAATCATGTTATCAAATTCAAGTAATTACTACACAAACAATACATTTATATCTAATTGCAAGCTCTAATCCTACTTATCTCATCAAATTCAAGTAATCTTCCTTATCCGTTTAGATTTTACAAAAAAAAAAAAAAAAAAAAAAAAAAAAAAAACTACTAATTGACAACTCATGCTGACAAATGTAGAGGAATAAACATTATAAACTAAAATGTGAACAAAAAGTAAATAATTGTCTATGAGAGAATGGATATGGTTAAAACAGACTACAAACTATTGTAACGAACACCATTGCCAACTGTAATTTAATTCAATATTAGACAAAGTCATTCAAATGGCACTATAAACATTCTCATATATGTATGAGTTGTACTTTAAAAAATATTGTAATACACATTAATTAAAATTAAAATAAATATTTTATCGTATATAGTATAATGCAATGTATATTAAAATATTATTATTATTATTATTATTATTATTATTATTATTATTATTATTGTTATTATTATTATTATTATTATTATTATTATTATTATTATTATTATTATTATTATTATTATATAGAGTTTAGCTCAAATGCGGTCGCACCATAACTTGTGGTCGGTGCGGCCGCATAGGCACCGATATAAGTAATAAACATTTTATTCCTTATTAGTACGTATTACATTTTCATCATGACCCGATCCGTCTCACCGAAATGGATTTGGGAGTCGGTATCACAGAAGATTTATCCTCATTCGAAATTCAATTTAATATAATTCCTAAAATTCAAGTTCATCATAATTTCTTATACATAATTATTGCATAAAAATACAAAAATTACCACCAACTATGAACAAATAATTCAAAACAATTTAAAAATATTTGTAACAATTCAAAAAATTAAAATAATACCTAATTTAAAAATATAAAAATAAAAATAAAAACTCACAATGAAGAAGGAAGGTTGTGGTAGAGGCGGCGTTGGTAGAGTGGCGAAGGTGGTAGTAAGGAGGAGTTGAAGTAGAATTAAAAAGAAGGTGATGGTGGTAGTAAGGATGAGTGGTGGACGGTGACGGTGACGGTGGCCGTGAGGTGGAGATGAAGAAGCAAGAAGTGGTGGTGAGGAGGAGAAGAAGAGAGAAGAAGCTAAGAGAGAAGAGCAAGAAGAAAGAAAATGAAATTTGACAGATCTGCTAGATAAAAAACGGATATATACGACCAGGGGTGGAGGTAGGTGGGTGCGTCTAACCCACACAACCATATCACCTATTAGAGCATCCGCATCACTTGGGGAGATTTGGGGGAGAATGTAAGAGTGATTAGGAAAGAGAATGTGGGAAGGGAAAGAAAAACAAAATCAAAACTGGCGTTGAACGCGCCCCGCGTGCGGTTGCTGTGCGCGAAACGCACGCATCAAGTGCTGTCATCACATTTATTTCTCCTGTGTGCGAAACGCACACAGCAAGTGCTGTCTTCACATTTATTTCTCTTGGGAAGAGAAATAAATCATCATTTGCAAAAAAAAAAAAAAAAAAAAAAAAAAAAAAACCACTCTCACTCTTCACCTCACTCCTCCAACATGGCATTTGCACCTCAAAAGTTGTCAAATAACTCCTCATTCTTCTCTATAGTGGATGCTCTTAAAGACTTTGCCTTGGCAAATGAGCCAAGTTTGGTCCCACTTACTATTAGATTTGCACAATCGCAAAATTATTTAATGGTTTTAAAGAATATATACAAATTTTCAATTACTCCTTCAAGAATATATACATTTGATTGGCACTATAAACTTTCTCATATATGTATGAGTTGTACTTTAAAAAATATAGTAATACACATTAATTAAATGACCATAAAAATTTTCTCGTATATATTATTATTATTACTATTATTATTATTATTATTATTATTATTATTATTATTATTATTATTATTATTATTATTATTATTATATAGACACAGACACATTTAGAATATTTCTATATAGATTTGTGCTACAACTATGCACAAATAATAATAATACAATCTTGATTAAATATTTGTAGATTTATTTACATAAAATCAACACAAAAGAACTCACATAAACAAAATCTAGAAAAAAAAAACAAAAAACAAAAAACAAAAAAAAAAAAAGAAAGAAAAAATCTTGAATTTTGGTATACAAACCAATTTATATGAGTAAGTCTTGGTGCAAAAAAACTAATAAAAGTTAATACTTCTCTTTTGTGTCATTTTCACGTTGCAAAACCCTTTTAACGTTACTTATTTTGTGTAATAGTTCTGGACTACATAGTAAATAAATGACACGACGTCAATTTTAGAAATCTGATATTGTATGCCATTTAAGAAATAATGAAATGACGTCAAGTTTTTGAAAAAAAAAACGACATCTTTTATTTATTCAATTTTTTAACAAAAAATTGTGGAACGATATCAGTTTTTTCACATTTCACTTTTTTAAAAAATAAATAAGAAATGGCGTTAATTTTTTTTTTAAATAATCAATGTCATGTCTTCTTATTATTTTGTTTTTTTTTTAAAGATACGATGTTGATTTTTTTTTTTTTTAAAAAAAAAACAATATCGTATCTCTTCATTAAAAAATAAAAAATAAAAGTAGATACGCTATTGGTTTTTAAGAGAAAAGGACATCGTATCTGTTATTTAAATTTTTAAAATTATAAATTTAAGGGTCAAACTTGTCTGAGGCCATCTCGGATCCTTATAACTTATAAGTATTGGAATTTCCCTTATATGTAATGTTGACAAGTATTTGTTTCTTATTAAGAAAAATATAATAATACTTTGAAATCAAAATGTAAAAGTGCTACATTTTTCTCCAAAGGAATTACACTTTCCAATATAAGTAATAAACATTTTAATAAGTGTTTATTACTTATTAGCATTACATTTTCATCATGACCCGACCCGTATCACAGACAAGGATTTGTGAATTGGTCTCACACAAGTTTTATCCTAATTCAGGATATAATCTAATACATAATTATTGCATAAAAATACAAAAATTACCACCAATTATAAACAAATAATTCAAAACAATTAAAAAATATTTATAAAATTTCACAAAAATTTTAAAAATAATTTGAAATAAGTTCAAAAAATTAAAATAATACTTAAAATAATTTAAAAATTAAAACTTACAATGAAGAAGGAAGGTGGTGGTGGCGGCGGCGTTAGAGGAGTGACGACCGTGGTGTACGGCGGTGGTGGTAAGAGGAGGAGTAGAACAAGAACAAGAAGAATTAAAAAGAAGGTGGGGGTAGCAAAACTGGTGGACGTGATCTGATATGATCTAAATTTGGTTGGCAGATCTGATATGTTTAGAAGAAAAGAAGAGGAACAAGTAGAAGAAATTAAAATGAAAATTTGACCGGCAAATCTGATATAATCTAAATTAAAGACGGATACGACTAGGGGCAGAGGTGGGTGCGTTTGACCCACGCGACCATATCACCCCGTTAAAGACTTTGCCTCGGCAAATGAGACAGACAAGTTGGGTCCCACTTACTTCGGCAAATGAGACAGATAAGTTGGGTCCCACTTACTTTTACATTTACACAATCGCAATGTGATTCATGAATCCTACTCATCCTTATATGTCTTTTTTATACGTGTTGTTTTTATAATTGAGTTTTTCACTAGTAAAAAGATGAAAATTGATTTTAAAAATTCAAATATTTGATGCATTTTTTATTGGTTGGTGATAGAGGTAAACTTGAACAGGGCCACTGGGATCAAACATTCAAGATTCATTTGCATTAATTTTTCTCTGCGTAGTATAGTTTAATATAAGCATAAATATAATTTATATGATTTTATTAAACATATAAATAGTAAATATTTAATATTTAATATTTATATTAAATTATGCTTTAGAATGAATTATAGTATTTTATTGTAATTATTATATTGAATTTATAGCTAAGTTCCGTTTAAAATTTGTTGGTCAATTGTAAATCCACTCTGTTTCTTCACTTATAATTTTAATAAATTGAAGTTTTTAATTTTCAAAATTTTCAATTTTTGTTTAAGGATATTATTAATCAGTACATATAAACTTTATTTTATTTACTATATTGAATATCGCCACAAAAAAGTTATAATTAATTGAAGAGTTAATACCACAAATAGTCCTGTGACTATTGGGGTAGTACTCCTTTTAGTTCTCAACTTTCAATTCGACCAAAAAACATACATTCACTTTCATTTTTGA